AAATATTTACTTAATGGTGTGTCCAAATTGACTGCCAAAGAAGATTTTGTTTGGTACTTGAAGCAAAGTCTACTAATTCATACGGCGCGTAAATTAGGATGCACGCGACTGTTTTTGGGCGACAGTTCAACTCGGTTGTCCATAAAGATTATATCTTTGACAAGTAAGGGCCGGGGATTTGGTTTACCTCTGGAAATTTCTGGAGAGAACCAGTGGTTTGGAGACGTATCCATATCAAGACCGATGAAAGATATAACCTTAAAGGAAATTGGAATTTACAATCACTATATGGGTTTCGAGAGTGTTCTCATTCCTTCGATGACATCCATGCTGCCACCCAAAGCCAGCATTGAGAGACTGACCGAAGATTTCATTGTCGGCCTGGAAAAGAACTATCCATCCACTGTGAGCACCGTTGTAAGAACAGGATCTAAACTGTCACTTCAAAATTCCGTTAATACAGAGGATCGTTGTGCGGTGTGTCTAATGCCGCGTCAAAAAGGAAATAGGAATTGGAAGAACAGGATAACTGTGATGAAGATTCCATCATTATCCATCACCACAAAAATTTCTCAAGGTCAGAAAAGTACGACCACACGCGATTGTTGTGAACGTGAAACTTCATCGTTTTCACAGCATGCGTGTTGTTCTCCGAATGATTGCAGCAAACTTGACAAAAATCTAGATGTCTCTGATGTGCTATGTTATGCGTGTCGCGTTAATATGCGTGATATCAAAGATATTCAATTGCCACCATATGTCACTGAAGAGGTTGAAAAGCAGAATAGAAGGTTAAATTTAAAAAAACAAATCGAAGAATTCTTAATAAATGATGATGATGAGCATTCCGCGGATTAATTGAAAAACTATATACTGTAGAATAATGACGATATCAAAAATTAACTTAACATCGTTCCTTTAACGCGCGTTCATCATCACATTTGTCAAACTGTTTAAATTTACATGTTTCACTTAATATGTTTAACCTTATTCATTGAAAAAAAAAAATTTTTTTATCAAGTTATTTGTATAAACTTTATTGTAAATTATGTGTGTTACTAAAGTTAATTCTTTAACTTACTCATCTTAATTAAATAACTCTAGATACATTTTTAGAGTAATTTGGCGCTTATTAATAGTTTAGGGAGAAATTCTTTCAAATGTCAACAATATCATTGCTT